AGTGCTACAATCGTCCGGGTTCCTTGTATTGCCTATATTATCCAGCTTAGTCTGAATGATCTTCTTAGGAAGATAAAGGCAATTCTAAAGAATAAGAGTGCGGAGATAGACTAGTCTAACGACTGTATTCGATCTCTTTGTACAAGGCAATAAAAAAGAGAAATTGTTAATACACTTAATAAGGTATACCTCTATAACCCTACTTTTTTTTATTATACTAATCCTTCTATTCTTATATAGGTCCGAAACCTTACTATCTATATAAACGTAAGTTTATAACAGAGAGAGTTATTCTATAACCTTCAGACTGAGGAGCTAAGGCTTATTCCGATCTAGGATATCCGAACTCGCTGGAATTCGACATTTTTAATACTCCGACGTACTAAACGGCTCTAATTAACCTTTAATTAATTCTACACTTAGTATAACCAGGAACACTTTACACTAAGTCCAGAAGAGTGGCGACAGATTGACTATCTTCTTTAGATTACCTAGCCTTTCTTTAAATTCACCACTCTTCTTTCTAAAACTAAGGATATAAGTATTCACTTAATCTTTAATATCTATAACAAGCTCTTTAACTACCTTTAAAGTCAAAGACTACCTTAAAACGGAAGAAGGTTGCGTAGAAGTAACTTATACTTACTTCTCTTAAGGTAGCAGAGAAGAAGCTTTCACAATTTTATAGCCAGACCGATTAAATTGATAACAATCTTTACGCAATTAGCACTATTCTCTTACCCTAATAAAAGCTTAACTTTTTTAAAGAAAAGGACTAGGATAATCCGGTTAATAACTAGCGTACAATCTATCGAGTAAGTCTTAAGGAATACTTTCAGCCTTATAAGAAACTTTATTCAGATATATAATTATTATCTAGAGCTCGATTATCCGCAGTCGCGATTTCAGAGCTTAAAATAGAATATAGGGTAGAAGAGTCCCAGCCCTTAGTATTGAGTGAATATAATAAGCTTAAGGAATACCTTGATAGTGGTAAGTTACAACTTTTTATTATCTATCCTATATTAACTTATATTCAAGGTATTATACGAACGCCTACCTATATATTTTGGAAGGAGTATCAGTATCAGTACCCTACTCTTATAAACCTTGCACACGATATACTATCAATACTAGCTATAGGGGCGGGTGTAGAACGCCTTTTTAACTCCGCCCGGGATATCTATTATTACCGAAGAGGCTCTCTAAAGGTATTAACAGTTCAAGATCTAATAATATTTATATATATATCAAAATTTGAGATCGAAGATACCCACCGAGCTCTAATCAATAAGTATCTTTTATATAAAGAGATACAAGCTAACTAAGAGGAGAGGGATATAACTAACACTTATTATTTTGAACCTATAAGTGATAATAACGAGAGTAGTAATACTTACGAGGACGTAGAGGATAAGGATAGTACTATCTAAGTGGTATTTGATTAAGGTCAATCACAACGGAGGCAGTATACTCAATCGGAGCTCGAGGTTAAAGAGCAGGAGGAGGATACGGGTAGTGAGCCTAAGTTACCTTATATATAACGGTATTCAGGGAGGGTTTGGAAGCGCTTAAGTAAACTTGATAGTTATAAAATTGAGAGTGACAAACGCCGTAGAACTTGAAGCTTAGATATATATTAGTTCCTCGAAAAATAAGATATTTCTATTGAGATTTGATGTTATTTAGCCCGTTCAAACGATTACTCCTAGTTGTATTTATTTTCTACAATACTAAGCTGTAAACCAAATACTAAATAATACAGTTGAGAAATGCATATTTTATACAACTCTAGGGATTTCCTGTTTGTCCTGTTTGTCGGCCCTCAAAATGTTTGGAGGGCTGCCCTCCGCCCGCAAAAGTGCGGGTCTGCGGGCGGCCCTCAGAGGGCCGCTCGCGGGCGGTTATGAGGTCTATCTATAATTAGGATAAAACTGGCTACTAAATCGGCTAAGGAAAGCGCCAGAAGGTCCTTGTACCTTCAATTGACTATACTATACCAACTAGCAGTCAAAAGGAGTTAATTACTGGCATTGAATATATTTCTGCTGATAGCTGGGTTATACTTAGACTTCGGCAGAACCCATTTTGGGTCGGAGTCTCCGACCCAAAACCCAATGGGTTGGGTTTTGGGTTCCGCCTTCCATAACCCAACCCAACCCAAAACCCAATGGGTTAAACCCAACAACCCAATAATAACCTATTTGAACCCATTTTTGCATAAAATATAGGTCTTGGCGTTTATAACGATGCTAAGTCATTCAAATAAATGACTGTTTTTTACAACTGTTCTGGTTGTTCATCGAATATTGCTACATTATCACAATATTGAGTTGGAAAATTTATATAATTGCTCTGAATTTGAAGCTAATAGGCTTTATATTATATTGATTACCGATAAAAATTGACATTAATTATAGTATAATAGTGTTCTATTAAGTTAAGTTTTTATTGATTGTAGACTGTTGAAAATATATATTTGTGGTAGAGGTGAGTATATATATATTATAGGATAACTATAAATATAAATAGAAATACCTTATTATTATTTTATTTTATATATAATTGATATTATATTAAAGCTATATTTCTCTTTTCTTATATTTAACTTCTTATATATACTCTAAATTATATTTTCTGACCGCGGTCGGAAAATCACTTCTAGGAGGGTAGGTATATATATTATTATTTCTGACCGCGGTCAGAAAAGCTCTTCTTAGGGGGGTTATATTTACTATAACTTATAACCGCGGTTAGAAAAGCTCTTCTGAGAGGGTAAATAAAATATTTTTAAGGAATCTTCTAGGGAGTGGGTTATAAATAGGTCCTCTTAGGTTTTAATAGGTTATAAATAGGTTCTCTTAGGTTTCGATAGGTTATAAATAGGTTCTTATAGGTTTCGATAGGTTATAAATAGGTTCTCTCGGGTTTCGATAGGTTCTATTAGGTCCTGTTAGGTTCTCTTAGGTTAGAACTATTTAAATAGAGCTTATATAGCCAATTATATAATATTATAGCTTCTACCTTTTAATCTATCTATTTTACTATAGAACTAAGGTGTTTACTGTTTATATACCCTTCTCTTATAAGTATATACTCTCTCTGTCTCTCCCCCTTACCTCTATAGTATTCCCCTTTTCGGTCGCAATATCCTAAAGCCAGTATTCTGACTTTTTACCTACTTATTACAATACAGATATAGATAACCTTAGCTATCTTATACCCTCTTCTCGAGTTCTAACCCTATCTAGTAGCTAGCTTATAATTGAGCCTTTTGATATTATTGATACTGGCTTCCTTCGGCCCTCCTTTCTACCGATTCTATACTCTCTTACTCGCGTTAGCCCCGATCGGAGAAAGGTATATATACTTTATAACAATATAGTATATAAAGAATAGGTTAAGTAGTAGCTATAAACCGACTATAGGTAGAAAAGTAAGATTTCGTAGGATTTAAATCGTAATTTAAATATATAGAGTAACTTTAATTAAGTTACCTATACTAAAGATAGAGCGCTAAAGGTAATATATAAGCGCTGCTCAAAGATCCTAGAGTATCCCTATTCTCTATTACCTAGCGGAAAGGGCTATTATAGTATATCAACAATATTGAAGTATTTAAAGATAGTAGGCTATCGCAAAGCTTAATAGGGAGGAAAAGGAGAAATTACCTAGTTCCTTTAAAAGGTAGTATCTCCTTACCTCTTTATTTAGTTATCCGATTTCCCTAACACTCCTAGATATATAGGATCACAGCTTACTAGAGGCTCCTTTTTTATAATTAGTATAGGAAGAGTATCTTCTCCAATTTCTTACCTTTAATCGACTTCTATTCTACCTTATCGAATATATAACACTTTATAAGCTATTCCGATTAGCCCGCTCTGCACTATCTCTCCCTCCGATACCCTCTGCTACTATAATACGTCGTCGTTTATATAATATTATTATAGAACGACAGAAATCTATCCTCTAAACACTACCTAACGACGTAAAAATCTCGATCGTATTAGATTGCTGGACTTCTCTATATAATTAGGCGTTTATAGCTATTACTGGCTATTTTGTTAATAGTAACTAGGTATACTCAGAGGTTCTACTTAGATTTAAACTACTTTATAGCTCCTATACTGGTTTAAATCTAAGTAGTGTACTCCTTGAAACTCTAGTTAAGTATAAGATCTAGGATCGGGTATTTAGAGTTATAACTGATAATATAACTAACAATAAGACAATAGTTAAGGTTATTCAGCAGGCGCTCTCTAGCGATATAATAGTAATCCGAATACCCTATCTTACCTATATTATCTAGCTTTATTTAAACCAGCTCCTTAATAATTTAAAGGCTATCCCTCTAAATAAGAATATAGAAACAAAGTAGACTAACCAGAAGTTATCTACAGTAAAGGTAATGTAAAGATATACTGATTTCAGGTGTATGGCCTGTCAACCGGGTAAGACACAATGGTAGGAGAGAGGAACAGATTGTATTTTTCTGATGCTGACAAGACAAGACTAATTCTTGTCAGCCTTCCACAGGGTCCTGGGGAGCCCCGGATTATGTACCATAGTACCCCGCTTCTATCACGTGGAGACTATATACCGATTCACTGTCGGATCACCCCCGTGACCCGACTGCCAAGCCTTATTCCTATATTGTAAGGATCGTTATCCGTTATAATTATCCCCTCTCTCCTGGAAGGATACCCTTATCCGAAATATAGGGTGTTCCCAATGTAGAGATCCCGAAATAACAAAGTATCGGGGACTAATCGGCGATAATTTGTAATAAAGGAGATATATTTAGAACAGTATAAAAGAGTTCAAATTATCACTGCGAGCCTTTATACGTAGGTACCTAAATAGGCCCTAGGTCTCTTAATCCCTAGATACCAATCCTCGAGTTTTGAATATACCTACCCCTCGTATAAACCCGATCCAGTTAAAGAATATATAGTGTATATAATACTTGCGTACTAGCACTAATAACTAGGATATAGCCGACACCAGCGAACCGTTCTCAATCTAGTGTTTTCTCGGTACCGCAAATTCGAAGAAGTACTAACAGTGTATTTAACGACACTTATACTGCGAACGTCCCGCTGAGGGTATATAGGGGGACGCCTACGATTTAGTATCGCTTCTTAACTGGGTTACCTAGGTATATTCTAACGATAACGGATATTATACCTAGGACCCCGATTATTTAGAGACAGTGAACGAAGGGGTCCTTATACTTCTAAAGGACTTTGTAGCGGTATATATAGCTTATAAGTCTGCTTATAGTCTCGGTGGAAGTTGTAAAAAGGATAAGAGCTAGGTAGGCGATAGGGTTTCACTTATAATTCGTCCCCAATTTACTAACGTTATAGCCTATTCCTACTACATACCGGCAGTACCTAGAGGTTCATCGCGGGATATATCTAAATCCTCTCCTACGGCTATTACTTTCCGCGATATAGGCGGAATAGTATCGGTATCGTACCGAATCGGGGTAACGTCTCTAATAAGGCGACGAGGGATACGCTCTGTAGACTTAGGCGAAGTATAACTTATTAACCTAGGTCTAGGATATCTATATTGCAGCCTATAATCCTACAATAGGTGGCCCAGTTTCGCAGTACGTATAGGATTTTAAGGATACCTTCCCTATTCTATTATATAAATTATAAGCGAGGGAACAGCGATTTAGTGGTACTTCCTTCCTATTTTAGTGTTTTTCTAAAAATAGTAGGTATAAGTTTTATTTTAGTTTCGTATTTAGTCGTAGCTTCCTATTTTGTAGGATTAACCGCGTCGCTGTCGGCGACCTAGGTTTATTTATTTATCTCTCTCTCTTTACTACCTTAGTTCTCGCGTTCTTCGAGTTCTATTTCTGTTTCTTAAGATACCGCCTAACGCTTCCCCTTATAAGTTGCGTACGCCTATCCGTTGTGAATTAACGTAGTGTATAACGTATCTTCGCGTTTCGACTCGTAACTAGAACGAGGGTAACTCGGCTTCGTCCTGTCCCTTCTTCGTAGTGTATTACGCTGCAATATACGATAGTAAGAATTGTACCTATTGCAATAGCTTATATAAGCCTTACGAGACAGTAGGTCCCCTTAGGTATCGCTGCTATACTTCAGTGGTTATCCGTACTAACAATATTTAGGTCCCTAAGGGTATCGAGGGGTACCGTTTCGAACTGCGTGCTTATCTCTCGTAGGTTAATAAGTTCTAGTCTAATAAGGAGGGAGGCTATAGTATAGGCTATTATAATAATAGTGAAACGTCCGAATTTTCGTTACCCTGTAAGCTTATCGATTCTGTTACAGTGTATATTCGATACCTTATCGCCTCTTTTAACAATTTCGTTAAAGCTTACCGCCGCGCTTATTCTCTCCCGGGTACCTATTTACTATAGGTACGTATCGTTAGCGATTTAACCCTATTCCTTTAGTGTTTTATTCTACTGACTGTATTTCCTATAGGAAACTAAGGATACTTACTCTTAGTGGGTCTCGAACCGAGTTCCCTTAATCCTCCCTTATCCCCCTATATCGCCCTATAACCCTAAGTAGGTTACACTCGTTACAGAGAGTATACAATACTATCGATTACGGCCCGCGGAGGAGTCGGCCCGGTCTTAGTACACCGGTGTAGTGGTATTCTATTAGGATATCTAGGAGCTTATTCGGGAGTTATAGGACAATTCTAAGGTAGGGGGTGCTATTAGACAGTTTTTAGAGGCTTATATAGACAGCTTTCCTTTAAACTTGCGTATATAATAGTTACGTTTCGCTTAGTTTTCGGTGCTTCCTCGATTAACTTTACCTTTTTCTAGCTTTCTTATATCTTACTATAATCTTTAGTGTATTTGTTATTGCACTCTCCGGTACCTATTGGTTGTATTCTGAGGGCTATCCAGCCTATTTAACTAGGTAGTGTGGTTCTTCTTCGAATATACACTTATCCCTAATTTCTTTAACTTCCTATTTATTATCGTCCGCTAGCTCGGGTAGAGGTAACTGTTCTAGTTCCCCTTCCCTTTGCTACTATAGTTATAGCAGTTAGACTAGGAATATATTGTGAATCGCCGCGTATTCGTCTAGGAGTAGGAGGCGGTACGCTTATTTCCCGACGTATTTAAGGATTCTGAAAGGTCCTATCTATCTTAGGGACAGTTTCTTTGTTGTCCCTTCCTTTAGTTGTAGGTTCTTTATTAATAAGGTTACTAGATTATTTTTTTTAAACAATATCTTAGTGTAGCGTTTATTATAGTGTATCGCTTATACTTCGGTAGCTTTTCGCTATAAAGTCTATAGTTGTTCTTATAGCTCTATTAGCTTTTTAAAACGAGCTAATACTACTAGTACCTCCCTCTCTATATTACTGTCCTCGGTATATATTTAAAAGTTTAGGTTAAATCCTAGTAGTACCTAGAATAGAGATATTCCTATTATAGTACTAACTGCGTTATTATAGGTAAATTCTACCGTTCGAAGTAATAAGGGCTATATTTTTTGTTATTTATTAATAAAGTAGCGTAGGTAATGTTCTAGTGTTTAATTTATCCGCTCCGTTTAACTATCGGTTTAGGGATAAAACGCCGTCGAATACCTCAATTTTGTCTTAGATAAATAACACAGTTTTAACTAAAACCTACTTATAAAAACAGATCCCCGGTCGGATACGATACTATTTAGTGGTCTAAATCTCAGTTCAATATCTTAATAGAACAGCTCAGCTAATTCCGCAGCGTCTATTATAGTTAAAACTAGGAAGAAGAGGCACTATTTCGAGAAACAGTCTATAAACACTAAAATTGTATTAACTATCCTTCCTTTCCAGATCGATTGAGGTAATCCTGTAATAAAATCTATTAACAATTCGGTAAAGGGTCGAGATAGAATCGGTAGCGATTCGAGCTTACCGAAGGGTCTATACCTTAGCGTCTACGCTGTTTAGCAGATTCTATAAGTTTTGATATACTTTTTAACGTTGTCTTATAGATAGACCTAGTGGTAGTTACGCTTAAGCAATTTCTCTGTTCTTACCCGGCTAAAATATCCTACAGTAGGGTTATTGTAGTGTATTTGTAGCAGTTTTATACGTATACCCTCTTTTTTTGGTATATATATACGTCCTCGGTACCGTAGTAGCCCTAAGGTGTCTACCACCTAGCCTTTTCCGCCGGGTTTCTATAGTAAAACGTCCCCTTTTCGGCGGATTGTCTCTGGGTCCTCGGTTTATAGCCTTCCTACCTATATTAGGATATCCTCAGTATCTATACTGATAGACTGGATTACTACTGTAGTGGTATCCTCGACGTTAAATAGAATATTTAAGTCCTTACAGAGCTCTCTCTATTCTGACTAATTATCTGTGCTGATACAGTTTATATTTATACCCGTAGGTACACTGGATCTAGGGTTTCCCTATCGGACTGCTTATCTAGATCTAAATTAGAATTCTAAGTTATATTTACTTAAATTATACTCGTAATCTACGTCTAGATTCCTTTTCCCTATAATACTCTATATTGTAAGGGTTAGTATTTCCTCGACTCGGTTTTAAGTCGGGATAATATCGTCTACGATTCGATCCTAAATCGGGATTATTAACTCCGCTCCTAAAGCAGCTTACTCGGAGTTTAGAATTCTAGATAGTCTATCTGCTGGATTTGTTTTTCTAGGTCTATACTTTATAACAAAGTCGAAAGGTGTTAGGAATATACACTATCGCGCTTATCTCCCGTTCAATTTCTACTGTGTTATAAATAAACGTAGGTTTACGTGATCAGAGAGCACCTCAATTAGGTATCTGCTACTGTCTAGGTAGTATCTCCACTATTGAAAAGAATATACGATAGCGAATAGCTCTTAATCTAGTGTTATATAGTTAAGTTCTACCCCTAAGAATTTTCGGGACTAAAATACTACTAGGTACTATCGTCCCTCGCTATCCGGTTAGGATAGTACTCCTCCTATTCCTTGATTTAATATATCTGTTTCTAGCCTAATATATTTTTCAGGGTCGAAGTAATATATCGAACAAGGAAGGGCTGGGATGACTTGATACCAGGAGCTTACTGTACAGAGTAAGAGGTAAAATGAGTGTGTATTTCAAAGAGTGCCTAGCAGCTCACTAAATACTCCTGAAGTGCCAAGAAGTGGCAGAAAGTGGTTCTACAAGTGGTTTATAGATATACCAAGTGGACCAATAAAAATGCGTTACAAGAAAGCGGTTATTTCTGGCTGACACACCCCCCCAGGAGCCACCTTATAAGTTTTGTGCAGTGTTAAATTCCTTCCTTAGGCAACTTATTCCTCTACCAAGTGTTGTATACTGATAAGCCTAAGCGCTTCGATAAAGCTTTAGTGTGCTTGCAGTGGAAGAAGCTTAGTGAGCCTATCTACCTGTATATTTGCAGTGGCTACCTATTGAATTGAAATATATCCCGCCTCCACTTCCTAGCGCAGCCAGTGGTTGTAAATGTCGACGTAATATAGCTTCGTACAAAGCTGAGGTTGCTCCTTAGTAAGCAGATCAACAGTTTGTTGATTGTCGCAGTCTATTGTAAGTCCTGTATTGTAGTCGAGTCCGACTGTTTAAAGAAGCCTCTTCCACTATATAGCTGACTTGCTAGCTTCTGAGATAGTAAGTAGCTCCGCCTCTGTAGTCGACGTTGTGACTGTCCTTTACTTACTTACTTTCTAGTCGACTGCTGCTCTAAATAGCTTACAGAGGAAGCCTTCCGAGCTTTTCCGATCTGTATAATCGCCGAAGGAAGTATCACTTAAGAAATAAAGTGCGGGCGCGTTATACGTAGGGTGGTATTCGAGAGTAAGAAAGCGAGTATCGTACAAATACTAGATTAAGCGATTTAATATATCTCGGTGTTTAGGGCCTAGGTTCGTAAGGAACTCGGCTAAGTGATTTACCGCCTTTACTGTATTAGGGCGAGTGATAATAGTAGGGTACAGAGTAGAACTAAGCTTTTACTAGTACTCTAGGATCTACTGCTTACTGGTGATTCCGGTAAACTTGCTTATACGATTTATAGGGAGTAGGGTTTTATACTTACGTCTATTAGCAAGTCTGTACTTAGTGGCTATCGAGGAGATATAGGAGTCTTAATACAGCCAGAGCTTATATCTTTGTATATCTCGAAGAATACGAATTCCGAGAAACTAGGCTACTTCTCCTATCTCACGAAGCTCCCAGTGTTATTCGAGTTACTGCTTTAACTAAAGCGCTTACTAGTGCTTTAGCCGGTAGAATACTATAATAATATTATCTATATAGAAGAAGACAATTATACTATCACGAGTGAATAAGTAAGGATCTTCGGGGACAAAGCTGAATCTAAGCTTTTCGAGTACGCGAGTAGCTTCTTATTGCTAAAGGCGTGGTGACTTTCTAAGACCGTAAAGTGCTTTTCGTAGTCTCTAAGTATTACTTCTATCGCGGAAGCCTTCTAGTATTTAAGTGTAAACAGTATCGTAGAGATCACTGTTTAGGAATACGTTAACAGTATTAAGCTGAATAGTGCCTAGATCGAATACTGCAATAAGTGCAAAGATCGCTTATACAGTACGAGCAGTAAGTGTTGCTGCTCTCTTCTCTTCAGAATTGATAGTTTAGAGGTCACCTTATACGTAAATTCGTGCCTTAAGCTTTATCAGAAAGCCGTTACTGTCGAATTTATAGGTAAAGACCTAAGTGAGAGGAAGCAGTTAGATACTTCTGTCTTATAGACAAGGTTCTACTTAGTAGGTTCCTTATATATAGATAAAATTCACTTCCAGTCCTACTGCAGTAAGGAAGCCTTCAGCGAATAGGTGATTCAATATCTCTTTCTAGCTTACTGGTACTGGAGGAAGGTCGTCTCGGTAACGACAAGGTTAAGGACGACTTATTAATAGTCCTGTGGTAAATACAGCGAGTACTGTATTATACTTATCTTCGGTATTATCGTATACGAAGTAGCTTTCTATATCGGAATAAGTATTCGTTTTTCGCTTCCTCTTTCCTTCTAAGATATTGGATAGAGTGATATTTCTACGGATTAAGCTCCTTACCGGGTATTGGATCTCCTAAGTAGATATTTCTTGCTCTTATAGGAAGGACCCTAGGACTTACTGTCCTTACTGACTCGGTAGCTGTATTTCCTATTATTAGTGGTCTGTTGTATAGACTAGTTATCGGATTGGCTTAGTAAGTGCTGCTTCTAGCTATACCGCTTACCTTTGTGGTTTATTTAGAATAACCACTGCGAAGGGCTTATTTTCTGGTATAGTAGGGTTATATAGAACCGCTACTAGTGGAGTGATAATCGGAGATCCTTCCTTACTTCGTAGAAGTAGGATCTCGATCGGTTAAGGACTTTACGGAGTGCTTTCCGGTAAAGGTATACCACTAGGTGTAGGTAATAGAGTTATCCAGTAGTGTTATACTTATTACTTCGGGGAAGAGGACTTCTCTTCGTATTCCCCT